ATTTCCTTTAGGATGGACTGGTTGGATCTCCTTGCAGTCCAAGGGACTCTCAAGAGTCTTCTCCAACACCACAGGTCAAAAGCATACATTCTTCAGCATTCAGCTTTCTTTATAGTCCAACTCTCACATCCATTCGTGACTACTGGAAAAACCATAGTTTGGACCTTTGTTGGCAAAGTAATGTCTCTGCTTTTTAATATGCTTTCTAGGTTGGTCATAACTTTTCTTCCAAGGAGCAAGCATCTTTTAATTTCATGGCTGTAGTCACCATCTACAGTGATTTTGGAGCCCAAAAACATAAAGTCTGTCACTGTTTCCATTGTTTCCCCATCTATTTGCCATGAAGTGATGGCAAATGGGACCAGATGGCATGATTTTAGTTTTCTGAATGTTGAGTTTTAAGCCAACTTTTTCAGAGAGCCTGGGAACACCCAATATACCCAAGGACAGTACACCACAAAGGCCACAAGGTGTCGCTTTCTGACAACCTCTAGCTGTGCAGCAGACACTATTCTTCAAGGGGAAGGATGTTACTAAATTTTGAAGCAGAAGAAGAGGAAGGATGTTACTATATTTTGATGCAATAACCAGAAGTGCATCCACTAGAACACACAGCAATTAATGCATCCAAATTAACAGAAGTTTCCCTCTAATATCCCTAAACCTAAAACTTAAATCTATTTTTACCATTTTCATCTTCTTTTCCCCTGGAGCAACCCAGAGCATGTTTTTCTGTTTTTTGCAGCTGGAGGGATCCAAGTTCCTTGACTGGGGATGGAAGTCGTGCCCACTGCAGTGGAAGCACAGAGGCCCAACCACTGGCCAACCATGGAATTCCCACCATGAGCATGTTAACATTACTGCAGATTAGGGATACCAACCCCCAAATTTTCCATAATTACTTTTTAGCCTTCACAAACACTCGATCGGATGCCCTGAGGAGGAACTGTTATCCTCATTTTACTTATGAGGAAACCAAAACCCAGAGAGGTTATAATGGGCCAATGAATATTCTAGTGACCAGCTTTCCCAACACACACCACCCCAGCTGGGGCCTATACACTCTTCCTCTCCTCCATCCCTTGGCGTGGAAGTGGTTGGGAGTAGGGTTCCACTGCTCAGCTTTTTAGAAATTAATGTAAAATATTTTATACTAAACTGGTATGAATTTGCAGCTATTTATGTTTATAAAATAAAGTTTCAGAGGGTTTTCATGGCTGCTCTAATTCATTATGAACTGTACCTGTGATGGGTTTCCAAGGAAGCTCTCTGTTGTTCAGGGAATGTATTAGTTTGCTAGGGTTGCCCTAAAGAAACACTGGGCTTTAAACAACAGAAATTAATTTTCTCACAACTGTGAAGGCTAGAAATCCAACATCAAGGTGTTGACAGGGCTGGTTTCTTTTGAGGCCACTCTTCTTGGCTGGTAGATGGCGGTCTTCTCCAGATCTTAGTAAGTGTGCATGTGTGGGTGTGTATGTGTGTGCCAATCTTTTCTTATAAAGACATGAGTCAAACTGGAGTAGGGCCCACCTTACTGACTTCATTTTACCTTAATTACCTCTTTAAAGGCCTTATCTCCAAATACTGTCACATTCTGAGATACTGGGGTTGGAACTTCAACGTATGAATTTAAGGGTGACAATTCAACCCATAACAGGATGAAAAAGTTGAGAAACGTGCAATACCTCTTCCAACTCTTTACCCACAAGAATGGCAGTGTTCTAGTCTATGTCCCAAGATCACACAATTAATAATCATTGGCGCTAGAATTCAAATACTGGAGGTCCACTGACACTAGTGACTAAGCATTCAAGCTGAATATTAATAAGCACAGCTTTTATTGTCTTTACCTTTCTCCACCAAATAGTTCATAACGGCAGCTATTTTCCTTTTTACCCAAGAGCTATTTAGAAAATTTGTTTTTACCTCTAAGAGATTAGATTGTTTGGTTAACTTTTTTTGTTATTATTTTCAAATTTTCATGACAAGGTACTTGCTGGCACGAAATCTTTCTAGATAACAAAAATGTCTTTTTGACATGGAGCATAACATAAAAAAACTAAGTAATCCCTATTTAATTGATTCAACCTTATCATTGCATTCTGATCTCTGTATCTTTGGTTTTTTGTGGCTGTTTTCCAGCAAATCTCACAAAGGCTAAAAGTGCTGTGCTAAAATCTCCAATTGTAATTGTAGTATTTCCAAGTTTTAAATGGTGTGAATTCTACTATATAATCTACCATCCTGTTTGTGGTTTACTGCCTTTTGCCTGGAGGTCTTCTTTACTGAGTTTTTTTTTTGTTTGTTTGTTTTTTTATTTTATTTTATTTATTTTTTTTTGTTTTAAATTTTTATTAGTTGGAGGCTAATTACTTTACATCATTACAGTAGTTTTTGTTATACATTGATATGAATTAGCCATGGATTTACATGTATAACTTTCTTACAGAACTTTCACACCCGGAGTGGAGAGGACCATTACATCATTATACTAGGGTAAAGACAGTAGTGTCCATCAGATGATGGACTATTAGGTGGTAAAAACCAAGAGGTCTGATGAGCAAGTCTAGGGTGTTCCGTCTGGGCAAGGCTACTCTTTGCTGATTCAAATATTTCGGTGAAGCTCTGCAGATACTTGCTCCGGCCCCAGCCAGGCTACTCCTGGTCAACAGCGGCATTAAACTGTGCAGCAGTCTCAGAAGAGAAGGGAGACCTGGTCCTAACCTGGTAGTGCCAGTCCTTGTAGGCAGTGGCACAAGCCGTGTAAGGGTCCCTGGAGGAATAACCCCTGGAGCAACCTCTACCAACATTGGTAATGGGACCCAACTGGAAGGAATGACTGACTATACCAGGAACCGACTCAAAGGTACACCTGAACTAAAGTTGGATTTTATTGCTTTCATTCCCCACTTTGGCTGGAACAACAGTATAATTAACATATCACTGATTTTGTAATTGAAAATTCGGTCCTCCTTCCCAATGCAGACTGAGGATAATGGGAAGGTTCTGAGGATAAAGGAAGATGAAATTTATTGATTTGCCAGCAAATGAGGACAGTAGCAGACTAACTTCCTGAAAATTACCGGCCTGCCTTCTGGGGAGAAACCAGGAGTATTTAAGGAAAGTTTTGAGACTGGGGTTAAGAGGAACAAGCAAAACTAGCAAGAAGGCCCGCCAGCATTAATCAGTCACAAAGAATGCAAATGTAGTTCCCAGCAACGCAAGGGGAAGACAGGAAAAACAGTTTTAGAAATCATCTATCAAAACAGCTTTAACCTTGTGGCCCTCTTACAGTTCAGAGGATGTTACTTCTTCATTAGCTTATTAAGAGACATTATCCCGTGTACTAGTGACTTGGGAAATACTGTTATTATAAATTATAATTTCTGCAGTGAACCTATATTAAAAAAAAATTACTGTACTGACAAAGACAATCTCAGTCTCTGGGCATAATTTACCCGGAAAAATGAGAATTCTGTTAAGGGCTGCAGAGAAAGAGCAGCTAAAGGGAGGGGAGCTAAGCAAGGGCCAGGGCACCATGAAGCCGCGAGAGAGGTGGACAGACGTGGAGGGACGCACCTAAGACCGGAGGGAAGGGGCAAAACTTAAGGTTAAGTGGTAGGAGGAGACATGAAGTTGAGCGAGTCAGTCAGGGCCTAGGTACACATCTGTCTGTGTGCAATTTGCGGAGTTCGACCCCAGTCAGGGCAGCAGCCGGACCTGACACCCCACGTAACGCTGGCAGCCAGAAAAGGAGGCTGAGACGGAGGGAGGAGAGGCCGCCGCGGTCAGGGGTAAGCCACGAATAAACAGCCGCGGGTAATGAGACCCTGGCAGAGCCCACGAGCCCCACACGCGGTGAGCGGGGCCGGAAGTGGCGACCCTGAGAAGCCCGTCCCTTTCAGCCAATGGCCGCGCGGTCCGCCGTCCGACGGTGACCGGAGCTGCACCTGAGGAGAAAAGGCGGGAGGCCCACAAGGCGCGAGAAAGGGCCACCCTTCCACGTCATGAGGCGAGTTACCAGAGCAGTGTCCCCGAGGACCGGCGTCTCTTTCCGTTTCCCTGCCGCGGGTGAACTAATCCGGAGACACCACGCCTTCAACCTGTGGACCGCCTCACGCCGGAAGCTGCCCCCAGTAAAGATGGCGGACAGGCAACAAGGAAAAGCCTGAAGTAGGTGGGATGGGAGGGGCCGGAAGGGGGCGTGTCGGGGCGTGTCCTGGCGGGCGAGGCCCGAATGGGCGTGGCCACCCGGCCCTACTGGGCTTTCGATCTGAGAGGCTCACAAATGCGGCCAACCGGGTCCCTCCGTCGTCTCCTGGAGGCGGGTCACCACTGGCCGCGCCCCCGTCGGATCACTCCCTCTTGGAAGGTTATCACCTGAGTTTTGAAGATTTGACTGGGGTTGGGCCACTAACCTCCGGTCCCTCTGAGATGGAGGGCGCGCAGGAGAACCCCGCGGAGTCTGGTTCCTCCGTCCCGTGGTCCGAAGAGCCTGCTGGCTCGGCCAGGGTCTCCGAGGTGTCGCTTTCGGAGGAGTCGGAGGGCTGCACCCGGCCCCTGGAGGCGGCCCCCCAAAAACTCTGTGGATATTTAAGTAAGTTTGGTGGCAAGGGGCCCATCCGGGGCTGGAAATCCCGCTGGTTCTTCTTCGACGAGAGGAAATGTCACCTGTATTATTCGCGGACCGCGCAGGATGCTAATCCGTTGGACAGCATCGACCTCTCCAGTGCGGTCTTTGACTGCAAGGCGGACGCCGAGGAAGGGACTTTCGAAATCAAGACTCCCAACCGGATAATTACCTTGAAGGTAAATGGAGCACTTTTTTCGCCTTTTTGGCCGGGGTGGGATCCCAGGGCACCGCCAAGCACAGGTGGGTGGTCACAATAAACGCACCATAATCACCGACCCCGATCACCTCAGTGAATCCTGAGTGCCCAGGGTTTTGTGCTTTTCAAAGCGCATTCACACCCATTTCCTTATTAGGTTCCTGCAGTAAAGGCCGGGATGATGGACGTATATTACGGATCAAAAAAACTGAGTCATAAAGCGGTAAAGGGCCTGGTTTGAATCACACCACTAAAAAGTAGGGTGGCCCACACTTGGAATCTCATAGCTTTCCTACCTCTCAGTACCCTATCAAAACTTTAAGGGTACGGTTCATTGGGTTGCAAAAGAGTCAGACAAGACTTACCAGCTTAACAACAAAAAACTAGGCAGTTACCATAACTTTCTTACTTAGGGCTGAAGTATAGTCAAGATATGAGCTTTGCCATCATCTTTCAAGGCCTGGATTCTGAATTACTTTTCCTGATGTTGTAGCCAAGGGGAGTGAATGCTGAGAAAACGTTGGCAGAGATTGGGAGATAAATACTTAGGTTTCACTGATCAACCTGCATTGTTCATTGAAGCATATCCAAACCTGTTTTCTCATCAGTAAGTTCTGTTTTATTATCATATTTAACTGGAAAAGCCTGAAGCATTGCAAAGGCCACGTGCTTTGAAATCAGACAGGCTTGGATTCAAAGTCTGCATCAGCTACTCACTGTGTGACTCTAGGCAAGTTAACCTCTTAGTACCTAGATAGTTTGTGAGACTAAAACAAGTTATGTAAGCACCTGGCACATGACAGGCAGCTACAAGTTGCTGAATTAATCTCAGCCTAGACTCCTGCTGGTGCATAGTGGGTGCTCGATACATATTTTCTGAATGACCACACATAGTGACAGAACCAAGGTCAGAAAGTACTTTCGAGTGAAAGTGCCTAGAACTTAGCTGGAGAGAAAGACTGGTGTGGGCTCGGAGTTCTGGAATCTACACTCAGAGAGGAGTGTGCCCGGAGACTGCATCCCTCCCACCCCTACCCTGTCTTCCTGCACCTCCACCCCCACTTCCCGCCAATGGGGAATCTATTGAGCCCCTTGGATATAGCTCAGAGCTTTTAGTTGCACTTTAATGGCCAGGCCAGTCTTGTGACCAGGCAGCAATGGGGGGGTGGGGAAGAGTGTCAGGAGAGGATGATGGCTGAGCTGGGGAAGGAGACAGACACATGCAGGTGGCTGTGGATATGAGAGAGGAGTCCAGGGTGGCTCGTGTAGGTGGCTGACTGCCTGGCTGGGCCAGTCACTGATGGGAGGGAACCCCAGATGAGGGGACAACAGGACATACAGTCATGTGTGCCCTTGGTAGATTCTTAAGTTTCAGGAGGAGAGCGGCCGTGTGGGCTCACCGGTGTCTCCATTGCCTACCACGGTCCCTGACACATACCATAGATGCTCAATATACACATGTTCAAAGAATTAATAACATGGGATGTTTGGGTATGAGTGGGAGTTTGTGATCACAAGGTCCTGGTGAAGCCCTGGAAGAAGCTGAGGTCTCTCGGGGAAAGCATTGATATATAGAAAGAGAACGGTGGCAGCATTTGACCTGATTTGACCCCTCCATGGCAGGCTGAGGGCCCCTTTCATGGGGCCCCCACCTTCTGCACAGCTCACCAGTGGTCCTCTTGAGAAGAGGGCTTGCGCTGATTGCTTGCTCATGCTCTCACGTGGCCTTGACTGTGGTCGTCTCTGTGAGGCTCACCTTCCAATCCTAGTGAGCTGCCCAGCTTCTGCAGCCCATCTGATCCCCGGCCTTCTCTCCGTAAGTCACAATCTCCTGGCCGTAAATTATAACAGGTCTCTGGCTTGGAAGTGGGAGACCAGGGTTCTGGGACCAGCTCTACCACCACCTGCCTGGGCCACCTCAGAGCCTTAGTTTCTCCATCTATAGAAGGGGCCAAGCACTCCTGCCCGACTTCCCCAGTGGAGGATCAGGCCACGTAATGGATGTGAGAGTAGGTGCGTGGACCGTCCAGGACTGGGGGACCGACGACCAGCATCAGGCACACCTCGTGGGGGCGGCCTGGAGGTGCCACTCTATTGTTGTGTGCGTATGACTTTCCAGGTCCTAGTCATATCATTCTCAAAAAGGAGGGATTCTCCTCATTCCACAAAGTTGACTAGGACACTGCAATGTCCCACAGGAAGGTAGTGAGGCTGCCCGGGCCCCAGCCAAGTCAGAATGTCAAAGCTCTCCCCCTCGCTCTCAATGTCTCCAGACTCTTTTATCCAGTGAGCGCTTTTTGAGCACCTGCTGCATGTCAGGAATTCTGCTGGACACTTTCCTTCCCTCATTTCACTCTCATAGCCGCCATATGGAGGGAGTGTTATCATCACTGTAGTACGGATGAAAAAACTGAGGCCCGAAAAGGTTAAGATGTCTCTGAGTAGAAGCTCAGAGCCTGGTTATCTCCTGTGACCGAGGAACATGTGGTGTTTCAAAGATGGGCACCCACCCACAATGGCAGTGTTTTGTTTGGTTTTTGTTTTCTCAGGAAGGAGAGAGTTGCCAAACTTGCCCTAACCTTCTCACATCCCACACCCAGTCCCCCCGTGTGGGCGCAGGGCCTTTGCCAACTGACGCCTGTGCTTCCCAGGCTGCCACCAAGCAAGTGATGCTATACTGGCTGCAGCAACTGCAGATGAAGCGCTGGGAGTTCCACAATGGCCTGCCTGCACCTCCTGCTGCCCCCGACGCTGCTCTGGCCGGGAATGGGCCTGCCCTGTGCCCTGAGCTAGGTACCCACCGGGCTCGCCTTCTGCCCACACACCCAGGGCTTTTGGTGACCAAGCCTCTACCCACCTGTTGGGAGTGATGGGAGGAGTCCTCTGCTAAAGAAGCAGAGAGCCAGGGACGTGACTCAGGATCAGCTAGGGCAACAGCGTAGCACCCATGGCAAGAACGCAGGCTCTGCGGCCATGCTGCTGACTTTGGATCCTCATCCTGTGCAGTCTTAGGCAAGTTGCTTAACGTTTCTGAGCTTCGCTCTCCTTCCCTGTGAAATGAGGTTAATAAACTATACCTACTTCTCAGGGTTGTTATAAAGATTAAATGAATCCCCGCGGCTTAAGTGGTTGGAATGATGCCTGATCATTGTCAGAGCTCAGTAGACGTCAGCTAATATGATGATGGCAATTATGCGAAGATCTCAAGAAATTTCACAACCTGTGAGGATGGTTAATGAGAAAATGCAGTTATTGCTGTTGCTTCTGACATAAATGTTTTTGTGCTGTGAGTCAAGTAGATCCGTGATCAAATCCCATGTTTCTGTAGGGCAGAACCTTCACCCCCAGGTAACCCATAAGAACCCAAATCCTGAAACATCTCAGCATGGAGGAGTCCTGGAGCTCATACCCTCCCACCCCCATACTGCAGCCAGGACTGTGACTGGCAGGTTTTAGAACTGAGACAGAAAACCACCCACAGGGCTGGAGCGTGTCTGTCGTGCTTCACCACCAGTTGACAGGGACCCCCGTGGGCAAGGGCGGGACCTGTGGCCAGCTGCCTCCTAGACCCTGGTACCCAGATGCATTAAGACCGAGCTCATCTGCCTTTATCCTTCTCCCCACTTTTCCTTCCCTCAGCAAATGGCCTTCATTTACCATTTGCCCCTTCATTTACTTCATTTACAGTTGCCCCTTCCTGAATCTCAGATCAGTCCAGTCCGTCCCCTGGGCCGGCAATGTCTGCTCTCTGGCCTGCACGTCAGATCCAGGCCCTCGCGGCTCTTGCCTTGGATCAGGGCTCCACTCTTAACTGGGCAACCACAGCAGCCTCCTCTCTGGTGTCCGCACGTCCCAGCCTGCCACCGCAGACCCAACCTCTTCACTGCAGCCCGAGCGAGCTTTCTCAGATGAGAGCCTGAGCCCCACCCCTTCCACGGCCGCCCTCCGTGTCCCAGCCCAGCAGTTTAGCACAGATTCGGGCCTTGTCCTTCCCGGCCTCACCTCTGCCTGTGCGCCCGACGCCCACCTTGGGCTGTGCCCTTCCGCAGCACCGGCGGCGTCCCCGCCTGCTGCTGCCCCCCTGACGCATCCCCGCTGACGCTCTCCGGCCACGCTACACCGTCACCTCCTGCTTCTGCACTTCTCACCCTCCACTCCCATCTCCGGGAGAGCCAACAGCCCTGACTACGCCAGAACCTGTGGCTGAATGACACAGTCGCCCGATCACCCTCAGACTAGAAGTACCAAGGAAGCCTTCCATTGACAGGACTCCCAAGTGTCCAAAGAACCAGGTTAGCAGAAGAATGCCTTTGGTTCAGCACACTCGGTGGGCTTCTTTGGGCCTGCCCCTGCAGTGGCTGTGGGGGGAGGGGAGTGGTTGCCTTAATGACCAGGCGCCAGTCTCCTGCGGGGGACGGGTGGGGGTAAGATGCAGGAAGCCAGGATGTAGGCTTCTCCTCGGAAGCCTTTCTCATCCCATAGCAGCATCCCATCCCCAGAAAGACATTTCCGGAGTCTTGAGCAACTTGGCCAACCCCGGATCAGCCTCTAGAGCAGACTGCCCCAGCTCTCCAGCCTCCACCCTTCCTGGGAGGAAGCAGAGGCATGCTCCTAGGGGAGCAAAAACCAACAGACTCTCATCTGACTTTGAGTCACGGCCACCTCATCTTCTACAGAAGCGTCTAGTCATGTCCTTGAGCAATCTGCAAGGCATGCTCTCTGCAGCGTCTAAGTGTTTACACCTTTATTTTATAGTTGCCCTAAACCCTGGTCTCTGTGATAGCTGTGGAAGATCAAGGGGGAGTCAGCAGATCTATAACAATAATAACACTTGGCCAAAGTAGGACACAGTTTACGAAGGACTTTTATGTATATCATCAGAGAAATACGTATACCACTTACTGACTCTGTTCTCACACTTTACGTGCCTCAAGTTCCCTAATCCTCACAGAGATCTTAGGTAGGTAGTTATTCCCATTTTGCAGAAGAGGAAACTGAGGCTCGAAGGGGTCAAGAGACCTGTCCAAGGTCACACAGCAAGAAAATGTCAGCCCTGAAATTTGAACCCTAGTCTTCAGACTCGCACACACACCCCAGATACCCCTCAGACTGTGGGGACAGCTGGTCATGTGTTCAGGGCCCTTTGGGGAAGCAGCGACCTTCTGGCTAGGCAATTTCACTGTGGTGATTTCTTCAGACTGGTGATGTGGCAGGCCTTACAGTTCAGGCAAAAGGAGAATTACAAGTAAATGCTGCTGAAAGCTCTTTGTGTGGGCACCTCTCTGAGGGCATGTACACCTCCCTCTCTAGGCTGGAGAGGGGCCCAGAGACCCTAGACCAGAGCCTTGGGTCACATCAGTTCTGTTTTCCATGGGGGCATCTGTCTGGAACTGAACCCGTAAAACAGTCCATGCCAAGCCCTCAGCCCTTCAGAGGTGAGCCAGTGTTTTGTATGTTTTTGCACCCGTGCCCTCTGTGTAGATGTAGTGCAAAAATAAATTTCCTCTACCCCTGCAATCTTTTACTCTCTCAGTGAGAGGGCTCCAAACGAAGAGTGTCTGCTATCCTGTCATCCTCAGGGGCTGCCTAATCAGGGTCATGCCACCCCTCAAGTGGCCTTCGTTCTCTCCCACTTTTTGTAATACTCGAAACTGACCTCAAAATATTTTGCCTCCCTCTCTCTTATACTTCAAATAATGCTTCCTTAGCCTTGAAACCTTCCTTACTATTAAACATTTTGGAGGAAGCAGACATATTGGAAACACAGAAAACTAGAAGAAAAAGTAACCATAAGCCTATCATCCAGAGATAGCCAGTGTTGATGTTATGTCATGGACTCCTGCCTGCCTTTTATTTAAACATACCTCTGATCATGTAATAATACAAAAGGCACTTGGCTTTTTTGGCACTCAGTATTGGCACCCTAAAATTTCCCTGTGTTACAAAATCTCATTATTAATATCTGCTTTTGATGAGTATGTATTTTCTGTTTATAAAAAGAATCCATGTTTACTGTAGAAACTTTGGTGGGGTGGAGGGAGAGGTGAACTATGATGAGCGTAACCTGCCCACTTCTGCCTCCATCATGCAGTTCTGACCTCTGTTAAGATTGCAGAGTATCTATCTTTGAGACTTTTTCTGGAGAGTTGAGATCATACTAGAATCCCAACTTTTTCCATTTTATGTCTTTTGGATGTTCCCCATATTCCTAAGCATTCTTCATTAGCATTGTTCTCAATGGTGGAGTGATAGTCCATTGCCTGAAGGCATCATAATGTGTCTAACCTATCCCCAGATCCTTAACATTATTTCCAGTGTGAGGCCAAACAGTGCCAGGATGAGCCTCCTGGCTCATAAAGCTTAGTCTGCATTTCCGACAACTCCTTTGGGATGGATTCTCAGATGTAGAAATATCTGCAGTTCTGCATATTTCTAAGGGGGTTTCCAGGAAGGTTGTCCCAGCAAAACCTTTGGCGAAAAGCCTGCCTCTGGCTGCTGTTAACCTAGTGAGAAGCCTTGCTCTGCAGCTCAGAGACTCTCACTTGCTGCCAATCATGACACTGCCCGGCTTGTCTTCCTAAGTGCAGTGACTTAGCGCATGGATGATTTCCCTTTTCTTTGTTCCCCAGAGCAAGAGGAAGAGGAGCAGGAGGCGTTCCTGTGTCCAGTGAAAACACCCACTGAGCTTGTGGGCGTGGCAGCTGCCTGGCAGCCAGTCCATGCCAAGCCCTCGGCCCTTCAGAATATTTCCCTCAAGCACCTGGGAACTGAAATACAGTAAGTGCCATGCAGCTGAGGGGCCTGCCAAGCTGCAGGCAGCCCCTCCTCCAGAGCTTACAGCTATCTGGTATTACTCCCCTGAGGGGAGGTGGAGCTGGGTTGGGGGTTAGGCCCTTTACTTTCAATTCATGACACCATTACTTTAAAATACTACATTTGTTCTGATTTTTAAAATAATACACATTCTCTGTAAGAAATTAGAAACACCCAGAAAAGTATAAATTTTAAAATTACCCATAGTCCTTTTACCCAGGCAAGCATTCTTAGCATCTCCTCCCTCACATTTTCCA